TGAGTTTATTGAAAACGAAAAAGTTTCGATTGAAAAATTAGTCAATATTCTCGACACAGCAATTATAGGACTTGAACAACGGAACTTTGTAACTGAACAAGAAATTATGTCTGTTTATAGAATTAAAGAGAAAGTATTATCACATAAAAAATGAAGCAACTTAAACAACTTACATTGAAAGAAACGTTTAATAAAGTAAACAAATAAATATTAAGCTTTTTTTTTTTTTTTTTTTTGTAAATTTTGATACCCTTTAGATCATAATTGTTCTTTATTTCATAAATTACGGTTTCATATTTTTAATTTTATAATTTCTGCATGCCATCTTACCAGATTTAAACTGATGGTCTATAATCCGGAAAAATCGATAATCCGGAATCATGGAAGTCCCGACAAGTCCGGATTAACGACGTTTGACTGTAGTTGGTTTTAAAAGTATTAAATTCAAGTTTTATTTATCAGACTTCAGAGAAATGTGTATGTAAACATCATAAGATAAAGTTTGTTGTTCTATTTAACTTCAAATGGAATAGCTGCAGAACTAACTATCATATTATGTTAACTTCAGTGGCGTAACTATTTGTATAATATTGTGTTCATTTCAATGGCTGACTGTAGTTTCCACAAAAGGGACTAAGTGTAAGAAAGTGATAATTTTTGAATATATAAAAATAACAAAAGTAAAAATGCATATGCTGGAGTAGTGTTTCATAGTTAGTGTTCCATGAAGCTGTGGAGTTTTATAAAATTAAATTATGAAAGGTTTATGAGAAAAATAAAAACGTTTAAAAGCTATAAATATTTACAGCATCAAAAAATTATATGTTTACATCATATATAAATATTTATATCCTAAACCTATTGTATATTTGTATTTAAATGTTAGAAATATTTATATCAAAGATGATATTGAATCACATTGCTTTCACTGCACAGCTTGTGTACTAAAACGCTGTTATTGTTATAGTCCAGAACATTCACTGTCTTCATTCGCTAAATGTAACGTAAAGACGAGGCAATTTTAGAAAATCTATCATGTGAACATACTTCCTCTTAAGTTGACAGCCCTCGTGTGCTTTGCCACAATCGCCTAAATGTGCTGAAAGACTCGATATCATAATTACAATTTAATTTAGAATAAAACTTTATTTACCCTCTAGGGTTGTGTACACTGGCTTAGTTCCATATTATGAGAGTAGGGGCTTTGGAGGCTCAATAACGGGAACCCGATTCCTACTGCGAGAAAGGGCAGCCTATGCTGTCCTGGACGATAGTGGCTTTGGCCATCCAAGTAGCTAGTGTAACTCCAAAAAAAAAACATTGTGTCATAAGCTTTATTGCCTCCTTCCATCATAGTCTCTGCACACCCAAGATGATATGAACATCCGATGGGGCCAGCTTAGCAACAGAGGCCATTGAGAGAATTATATTTTGTATAAGATCTGCTATCGGGGATTGAGGTCCCCGGTTCACAGCATAAAGGAATTTGTTCTCTCCTCTCCCTGAGGTCATTTTGACTGGCTAGCTCACCTCCTACCTAATATAAGGCTCTTCAGCTGGAGTCCATTCGTCTTAGTTGCTTCAATTGCAGGAAAGGCTAGCAAAATTTGGTTGACTAACCTCATTCAAGGCCGACATATATAATGGCTGTATTTATTTATGAGACGCCAAAAGAAGGTGAAACATACTTCCCTTCAGTCTAGAAAATGTAACTTATTTTAAAGGTTGGTCTTTGCATGAAGAAAACTCATTCATTTTGTATACATTTCACTGAAAGTTTCTAAGGTGTTCCTCTGTGCGACATAAAGTATTACAGTAAAAATTGGAGACGTCATGAAAAATACTTACCTGACTGATGCAAGGTAAAATAAATAAAAACATGCCTTCATTTGTATTTTACTGCAATCTATCTATCACTTTTTTAGAGAAATTTTTCAAGAAAGATGTCATAAATGTGTTTGTAATTTTGCAGTTTATCAAGGCACTCTTTTTCAAGGAGCATTAATGAAAGTATTGAAAGCCAGTCTTTATTCTGAGTATTATGCGCAACAGATTTTATGCGTTTTAAACATGAAAATGTTCGCTCTACGTGTGCCCATGTTCACTGGTATTATTAATATTAGACAACAAATTTTATAAGTTTCGGTTAACACTTCATGTGTTAGGTCAATTACTTCGTAATCCGAAAAATCTAATAGTCTACTACTACCAATTCACTTCATAAGTTAGGAAAATTAAAGATATTGTAATAGCTTGGCCTTAAGTGAGGAAATTAAGCTACCTGGAAATAAGGATCTGAAGCTTTGGAATTTTTCAGGGTGAGTTAGCTCAAAAAAATGCAGCTTATATAGATCTTTGAATCTCACTTCCAAATCATTATATACTGAACATATATATATTCATAATATACATATATTCCATATATTACATACATATATTCCAAATCATTATATCTATTACATTACATACTGCACTTATTCCGTATCAAATTACATATTGAACTACTGTGTCAATAATATCATTATAGAGATGCAGATATGAGATTTCTGTATCATCTTCTGTACGTCGCTTCTTAAGAGATGCAAGAAACTCAGTTTCTTGTAGTTTTGTGTAGACTTGATCAAAACCATATCTAGCTTTTCTGAAGTTACAAATTGTGTCTTGAACTTTTTCACGGCAGTATTTTACATTTGATGTCTTTGTCTGAAGAATATTAAAAAGAATATCTTTCGATGTACAAATATGATTGAACATTTCCAGCTGAAAAAAGTCAAAAGCAATGAATGATGACGCATAGCCCCTTCAGCGATTATGGAAGCCTCGATGTCCCAATTATCTGTATCTTCGGTAATGCATTAAAAAATCCTATCATTTCCACTTTATCTTCGTATATTGAGTTAGCAGTTCTGGAGTTATAATTCCACCTCGTACTCGTAACAGTTGGAAAGCGTTTCTTGACCTTCAATTCTTTAAAAGCATTTACTCGCTTTGTAGAATGTAAAAAAGATTTGCGAAAGCTATTCGGTAGTTCAAAAAATATTTTACATTCTATAATGAAGTTCACAGATTGAGACAGCGCTAGGTTAAGTCTGTATGCATAGCAATGAATGAAAATTTCATTCGGGTACTTCTTTTTCACAACTAATTGAAAACCATTCAAAAGACCTGAAAATGTCGATGCTTGAGCATATCGTTGAGCTCCAAGTTTTTCCTCACAGGAAAAGTTTAGGAGCATTTAAAAAACTCATTTATTCAAGTCCTTTGCAGATCGATCGCTGCTGACAACCATAAAGCCAAGAAATTTTCACGAACGTCACGATTTTTCACAAATCGAAAGACGTAAAAAGGTTTTACCAACCATTATTACATCTCCAGTACCAATTTGTTTTGACTTTAAGTACAGTTGAGTTTTTAAAATTAATTTCTACTTTTTATCATATTTTGAATGTAGCTGCAAGAACTCGACATAATTTCTCTGATAAAGTGAATTATTGTGTTCATCGTGTCTCCTAAAAGAAAGTTCTTGTCTTACCAACAAGAAACAGACATTGATTAATTGCTTCACAATTTCTTTATTTGAATCATGTTCAGCATTATGGTCCAAAACATCCATTTTCTGTTCCTTGCTTAGTTGAAAGTTAATCATCATTCTTTCAAATGTTTTCAATTTTTTAAATGCAGATAAATGGGAATGTATGTTTTCATGGCGAATTTTGTAATTTTGAAAATTGTTGATATCGCTGTGTAGAGACATTAGGATTTTTTGGAATCCAGAGATGATGAAAAATTAGCAACCGCTTTCACCGGGAATCGAACCACGGACCTCAGAAATACTGGCTGTGTGCTGACCACGAAGGCACGCTAGGAAAGCGGGAGAAATACCTTATATATTCCTCTTTTTAAAGAGCGACTAGGATTTTAAGGGACCTAGCCGCCAAATCCTGGGTGTGGATAATCATCATACACAACCTTTTTTTTAGTTTGGGTGCCGCTGTAGAGACATAAGGTATTTTTTTTTTTTAATTTTTTAATTTTTATTTTTATTGAAGTAGGCAAGATAAAAAATGAGAAAACGCCTTCGCCGGGAATCAAACCACGGACCTCTGGAATACTGGCCCAGCTTGCAGAACCACTACACCATGAAGGCACGCTAGGAAAGCGGGAGAAATACCTTATAACTGAAACCAGTGCTATTCGACACTTCTTTGTCTGTCTCAAAAGTAACATGCAGAAAACACAATAGTCTATTTCTTTGTTTTATGTTGTTAACTATTCTGAATCTAAATAATATTTTACTTTGAAATTCATTTTTTACTCACAGACATATCTGAGGTAAGCCTACCTTTGATTATAAGCTCTTCCTCTTTTTTTTTTTTTTTTTTTTTTGGGGACAGCTTAAGGCCTTCAAAAATATGGCAGATAAAAAATGATCGAAAACACAGCATTGTGGAGCCATTTGCTGATCACTCTGATGTAAACTTATCTAGTTGGCTGTATGCGCTTGCTCTATAATGATATCTTCTAAGAGAGCAGCTTTCTCGATTATGTCCCTCTCCACATTTTCAATACAGAATTAAAATTATAATATATTTCACTTTAAATCCTTTATATCTCACAAAAGTGCTTTCACGAATTCGAATTAAACTACAGGAAAAAAAGCTTATGTGATGCAAGCTTGGGAGAGAGGGAAAACTGATATTCACCTGCTCCCAAATAGTCACCTGCTACTTATGAATACAGCCGATGCAATCTCATCAAGTATAAAAAACAGCTGATTGCATTCAAATACAGTGCATAATCAGGGAAAGTATACTTTCATTTTAATAATTCTATAAGAAAATTTTTTGTTCAGGAGTTTTATTTCTAAAAATGGTCTAATCTCTCTAGTCCGATGACGACACGTCAGTGGTTAATTTATATATATATGTTTCCTTTATTAATTGAAAAAAAAAAAAAAACTCTGTTATTTAGCATTGTATCTAATGTGGATTCTCTCTTAGATCATTAAATTTGTGCAGCAAGTCCGATCTCTCCACATCAACAGACTTAGCTCTAGGCACTTAAGGCAACTTCAGACAACAGTGTTTCAAAAAGGTGTGTATTTTATTGGCTAGTAAGTTATTTCCCCCTATTTACCCTTGTGCCAAAACATAGTGTTCTCTCTCTTTTCCTTCCCCCCCCCAAAGTATCATTGAGGCGAAGCTGCCAACTCAGGTTTTGCCTTTGCATCTATGTAAAAATAAATTTCTGAAACAAACCGTCATGAGATTCTTTTCAAATACCTCTGGATAAAATAATAAATTAATCTCATAAAAAGTTTTTTGTAATACTTTGACCCACATATCTGAACTTGTATATTAAAATAAAATCTTTCCATTGATTCTCAACCAGATCCCTTTATACCAATCTCTGGTCCTCTTAAGATTTCTCAAAAAGGCAAAAAATAAAATTAATAGCATATACTACACCATAGCTGAAAATCGCGGTGTTTGAAAATTACATATGGCAAATCATGTATTACCTTCTTCTCCCAACACTGATGTCTTATAAAATTTACTGCTGGTTATGCTACCTATGGACTTCCCTCTCTAGCCTTAGCAACAAAAGGGTTAAAAGGACTTTAAATGCTTCTCCCTCATTACTAGTGAAAAGAGAATCTAATGAACTGTTCAGTAATGCTTAAAAAATTCATAATTCAGTTTCTTCTTTAGTTATGTGTGTGAGAAAGGCTTTTCATCACTAACTCAAATAACAACAAAGTCCTGAAACAGACTTAATGCATGTGCCAATCTCAGCCATTAGACTTAACCTTACCAGTGTACATCTAAATGTAGAACAGCTGTGCAAGAATTGTCAAGAATTCCATTTCATTAATTTGAGTACCAACATTTATTTAATTTCTGTTTAAAAGCTAAAGATTAACCTACCTCTAATAACCTTGAATTATTCAAAAAAGTATAACATTTCTTCTATTAACTTATTTCTATTATTTAATTACTCTATAACTTTTATTACTTCCAGTATAAAATTAAATGAATTTTAATTAAGTGTATTTAAAAATATATGTATATTGGTAACATATGCAAAAAAAAAAAAAAAAAAAAAAAAAAAACAAATTGCTTACAAAAGTGACAAGAGTAAGGTGGTCCACAGAACATTGTAATTTATAAAAGTAATTCCCCTTTGAAAAACGCTTCAGAAACGCAGCTCTAAAGCATTCAAAGTTCTGAGATGTTAAAACACAGTGCTTTATTTCTCGCTCATAAATCCCTTCGAAAATATTTTATTTATCAAATAATAAATTAAAGGAAATTTCTTTGTCCCTTCTTTATGTACATTCCAGTAAACTAACAAATGCTTTTATCCCACATATCACCCAGTATAGTCTAAAATCATTTATTTCTAACTCTTGAGTATTTTGCACATGAAATCTTTCAAAAGAAGTGAAATAAAATTTATAAAGTCTCTAATGTGCACTAATGTCTTGTTTATCTTTATTATGTGTGTGGTACTGAGATATCAAGCATTAAAAACCATGGACATGGTTGATGATTACTTAATTCTCATTTAGGCAACAATAATATCGGGGAGTAAAGAATGGCCTGTGAAATGCAATTGTTTTTTTATCTTTATATTTGGTTAAAATCGCTGACATGTATTGCAGTGCTAACTGCACTCTGAAAGATTATGCTTAGCTAATTTATTCAAGTTCGTGGTTATTTGAATCAGCAGCAATTGAAAAGACGGAAGGGGGAAATCAAAGAAAAAATAATTGATTGATTCATGATTTGCTTTAATCAGAGAGAAAAATCAAGCAGTTACATTTATTGCATTGCATGTAAAATATGAATGATTGATGCCATTATCTAGAATATGTGTGATATGCAAAGGGGGCAAAATGAAATGCTTTAAATAATAATTTTAATGAATATATAGTTGAATCAAGTGTTTTAACCGTTATAAAAATAAAAGCTTTTTTTTTTACAAGTGTTTTAAGTGAAATTGCTAACTTTCTTGTTTTACTGACCTGTGATTTCTGTTTCCAGTAATGTTTCCAGACTTCACAGTTTCATTAAAATGAGACTGCATGCGTGTAAAATCACAGCTGTTATCCCTTTTTTGAAGCTTATAGATAAATCACAATTTCCTTTAAGGATATTTTTAAATACTCACAAGACCAGAATTACAGTTGCTTGTGAGAGTATCTAAATGATATAAGAAACCACAAAAATAAAAATTACTTCGTACTTAAAAACTCTGGAAAGGAAGTTTTGAGTGTGGCTTCCATTGTTGTGACATAACATTGTTCCATAAGCCTATCCAAAACTAAACATAAAGAACAAAATTCTGCGTCATTAAAAAAAAATTGGACTAATTAAATATCTGGCAGTAAAATTAAAGTTAAGGACCAAAAATAAACATTTGTTTCTGATACATTTCTTCAGTAGCACCCATTCATTTGAAGTTCTGTTGTACTTAATAAATATTATTAATGTATGTTTTAGTACATTTTGTTGAAATCTTACTGAAATATGTATTTTGTGCAGGTGATCCATATGAAACTTGTGCAGTATGTTTAGAAGATTATAAAGACAAAGATGAGCTCCGAATCCTTCCATGTTTGCACGGTAAACTCTTTTTTAATTTCATTAAATCTAAAAAAGCTTTATAAGACTTATGCCTTTAAATTTTAAATGTTACTATCAGAAATGTAATATAAAGACTTTTCGAGGTGTGATGGAGACATCTCATCATTACATAAGGTTTCTTTCGATGGAGTGAAAATCAAAATATTCTGGCGGGATTCTTTGTTCACTTCCAGGATCCTGCAATAAATCTTGTAAAACTTAAAAATCGGTACAATTATAAGGTTTCAAACTGGTCAATATTTGCCACTGCTTTTTGACCATTTTCCGCCTGTAAATAAAAAGTGGCTTCTTTAATGCTCTTAATGACATAAGGCCCTTCAAATCTGGGCTCGAACTTCGCTAACCTGTTTTCGGGTGCAGATGATAAGGCATGTTTTCTCTTTAACATTTTTTGCCCCACTGTATATCTTACTTCTCGCCTATTTTTATTGTAGTATAACTTTTGTTTCTGCCTTGCTACGTTGGAGTTTTTAATTGTTTCATCAATAATTGCCTTGAATTCTTGCCTTTGCTGTACAAAGAACAGCTTGTCTAAAGGCGTTAAAATCTTTCTTCCCCAAAATAGCTCTGCAGTGGTCTTTTGTGTAGTATTGTACTTTTCTCAAGGCAAAACCTAAATCATTGACACAGCTGTCCCAGCGATCGTGGTAATTCTTGACGTATCCCCTAATAATTTTTACAATATTCTTATTTACACGTTCTGCAATATTCAATTGCAGTCTATATGGTACCAGATGGCGTATGCCAAGGCCTGTGCAAAGATTTTTAAATATACTACTAACAAACTGTTTGCCCGCTGTCTGATATTACTTTTAGTGGAGCCTCGTATCTTAAAATATACTTATTTAAAAACAAATCTGCGACTATTTTAGCTGAAGCTCGTTTAAGGGTACTATTTCCACACATTTCAAAAAGTGATCTACTCTCGTTAACAAATATCTATTTTTATTTATTTTTGTTCTAGGGTAAGGTTCAAGCAAATCAGTGCCAACAGTCTCATTTAGAAAAGTGGTCTTTATGTTTTAGAAATACCCGGCTGGGCTGTAATTAACATCATTTATTAACTGGCACAAATGACATGACCTGACATACGCCGTAACTACCCTCTGTAACTGCAGGGGGGACGCTTCGCGGACCCTCTGTGCGGTTTTTCAAATTCCAAGGTGTCCTGCCATCAGAGAATCATGGAGTTCCTCTAAAATATTTAAACATACACTCGCTGGGATCACTGGCAGGTATTCTTGATTCTCATTTGTTAACTTCGTGTAAAACACTAATTTATCAATTATTTCATAATGAGCCGCCCTATAGTCAATTGCTGTTACGTCCACATGTTCAAAATGTTCGGTGTCTTCAAGATATGCCTAAATATCCTTGAATTCAGGATCCTTTCTTAATTCCTCAATAATTGATTCACGGGACTTAATAACTTTTGAAGTCAGCATAGCACATTTGACTGTATTTCCGTCCTCATTACTGTTATTGGAGTACTTCCAAAATAAACGCGAAATTTCTGTACCGTTAATAAAACAGCAAGCGTTTCTCGCTCGGTTGCAGAATAATTTTCCTTTGAGTTGAGTTAAGCATTTTGCTGTAAAAAAAAAAGGCTGTTGTCTACCCTTTTTGGGACAGAACCGCGCCAATTGCATAATCAGTTGCATCTGCAGGAATCTCTAGATTTTGTTCCCCTTCTAAGAATTTAAGGACTGGGGCATTAATTAGGGCATTTTTCAGTTGTTCAAAAGCTGTGTTTGCCTCAGCTGTCCAAGTAAATCTCATTTTCTTTCATTTGAGAACTAATAAAGGTTCGACTACCTTCGCAAAATCTTTTATGAATACCCCATAATAGGAGCACATTCCCAAAAAGGAAAATAATTTCTTAGCTATGTTTAGGGGAAGGTAATGTTTAATTGCTAAGATCTTGGTCTGGATACCCTTATTTGAGATTTTGTACCCAAGATATCACAACTGCTTGGCAGCAAATTTGCACTTCTTCCGGTTTATTTTGAAGCCGGTCTGCTTTAGTAACGTTAAAACTTCCTCCAACTGTTTTATGTGTTTGTCTATCGTTCCGCTGGTGACTATTATGTCATCCAGGTAAATTATTGTACTTTTGCCCAAAACTGGCCTTAAAACTATAGCTTTTTGAAATGTAGCCGGCACTCCACTTAAAACAAGCGGCATTCTTAACAAGGTACACTGCTCAAAAAAAAAATGGGACAGTGCTATATCTCCCATTCTACTGGTCTGATTGACAAAATTCAAACTGTGTTTTTCATGTCTCGAAAGCGTGACTTAGGATATATATTAGATTTATATATAGCACTATTCTAACATAGGTATTTTGACACAAAATCAGACTTTTTCTGAAATAATATATCAATATTTTCCCATATTTCGATTCTACGGCTCAAATTTTGCCAGAATACCAACTTTTGTAAAAATCATACAGGTAGTTTTTAAAATATTAGCTCTCAAAATTTTAGCTTCTCAATGTCAATTGAATTTGGTAACTATTTATTAATATCTCTTTTTTTATTAAACTTTTATTATTTTTCCTTTCACATTTCGAAATTTAGGTTCATTCCAAATAAAGTTTACCCATATTTTTGTGTTTTACTTTTTAAATTTCTATTTTTATAAATTTTTTGAAAAAAATTTTGAATTATAACCTATAAAATTTTTACCATCATCTTAAAGTAGGTGTATTTTTAAGCATATCTGCAAAAAATTAGACTTTTTTATTCAAAATTTTCTAAGATATACACGAATTTACATATTTTCGCATTTCGAAATTTGGCATCTTTTTTTTTTAGCGATAATAACGCCAAATGTGGTTTACAAATTTTTGTTACAGTGAATTGCCACAACTATTTTTAACCTTAAATTTCAAGTAAAATTTTCAGGAGAATTAATTATATGAAATTTTTTCCCTCAATCATGTGTAATAAATATTTATTAATACTATATGAAAAGCTATTTTTTTTTTAAATTATAGATGATATTATTCAAGTTTTTAACTATTTTTTTAAATTTCTCTCTTTCTTCCTTTTTTAAAAAAAAATAAGAGTAAATTTTTACCTTTGGCATTTTATCGTCTGCTACTTTACTTTAACTTCGTTTAAATCGAATTGTCTAAAACTGAGAATTTTCGTTTGATGTTTATTTGAATTTTATGAAAATATTTTATGACATTAACTGCATAATTTATTTCTAAAGAAACTGTTGCTTATGAAGTGGCTGAAAGAGCGGCTGATACTATCATCCATATTTTTTAAGGACAGTATATTTTCATAGAAACATAAGATTTAGAATAATCATTTTTAGAAAAGTCAAATTATGATATAAACATACAACCCTCTAGAGACTGAATTAATGGAAGTTCAATGGTTATGTAGAAATGATCTGCAGCTACATAATGGCTGAATAAGTCAGCAGGTCCCGTGGACAAGTAAGAATAATTATATAGAAGACACCCAACATTCTGGATTCAATTAACAACGAGGATACGCTGTTTGTTAAATGAATTTAAGAAGTTTTTAAACATAAAAAATTGACTCATTTTTTTATGCTAAATGTATTTTTATGCGTAGCGTATTTTCATTATATCTTTAGAATTCTAATTTAGAATGTAATTGTCAAGAACTGAATCCTAATCATCAGTAATATAATAAGTAATTATTACGGTTATTAATAAATCCTTCTTATAAAGTAATTGCAAATATTTTTAATTTTATATTAATCAAGATTGCACACGATATTATTTATTTACACTTCACTTCTTACCGTCAGCTCTAGTAGAAGTTACAAATCAATTATATTTAATTAAGGATTGGATTGGATTATTTAATTATGGTAAAGCACACGAGGGCTATCTGCCTAAAGGGAGAGATGCCTTCGTGGAAGACTTTCTAAGCGAAACTGGCTCGTATACACGTTACACATAGGGAAAACCACGAAAACGCCCATGCAGCCAGCCCGTTCGCGAGATTCGAACCTCAGACTGAACTACCAGTGTTCAGCGTCTTTACCGCTCGGCCGCTGGTGGGCTATTTAATTAAGGAATGATCATCGAAGTTTAGAAACAGCGTACCATAACAGCAACTCAATTATTGGCACCGTATCTTTCATGTTACTCCCGATTGGCAAGCTGCATGATTTTTAATGAGTTTTGCTAGTAACTTCACTTGGAAATCGCGCTTTAACTAGGTTAGTTGGTTATTTGAACATAGGAAGAACATGGGAGCTATTTAACCAATAAATTCAAGGTCGAAGTTTCAATATTTGATTTTCGGAGTGAGGGGAAATTTTTTCAGTTTTAGTCCATTATCCAAAGAATATTTGCTTTGATTCTTTATTTTTTGCATAAAAGCGAAAAATTTACGCATGGTATACATATAACGCATAGCTTCAAATTAAATTTAATAATATTCAGAGGGGTTATAATTAAAGTTCCACATTGAAACGGTCATAAAAGGAAAACTACTGGATCAAATGTTATCAAACTTGGTTATTGTGTAAAGGATTTCATGGGAATTTACTTTCCACGAAAAAAGGAAGTTCGAAACCTCACCACCAGGGGGGAAATGGCACTGTATGCAATATATTAAACGAAGTATGGATCGGAATCTAAGTTAACCTTTTGTTACACGGGTGTAATGTGTTGTATACCCTTAAGAAACTTTGAAGTAAGAAAATTACAATTTAAAGGCGTTAAATTCGATAAAAGTCGAGTGCGCCATCCGTGTAAGTGAGAAATTCGTCCGTGAAAACCACGAATTAGCGATTGAAAAATATGAGATCGCAAATCACTCGATTTACAGATCGCTAATTTGTAATTTTTGAAGCCTGAATTCAGCCCTAAAACATGAAGATACTGGTTCAAAATGCTTTTAATCGATTTGGGCCAAAGAAATCCCTCATGTTATCTATCTAGTTCCATTGCATTCTCCTACTGCATTCGATTGCATAGCAGTCAT